TCCGTTACTGAAAAAATAACGCCGTTAGTAATGCCGTTATACTTAAACGGCGTTACTCCCCCAACACTGGACGTAAGGCAAATCCAGGTGTGATGTGGGATTTTGTGACAACCATACATTATTATTGCAACATACACAACTATACAATAAGTTATGAATGAATCTCTAATTTACTGTATTAGCACTTTCTAGTTCCATTATTTATAATTTATTGACCTTTCTGGTTTAAATGTTGCTGCTTTGATGCAATTTTAAGTTTCAAATTAAATCTTAAAGTGACGGTTGACGGAGTGACGGTTGTTTATTACATTTTATTTGTCAGTAAATATAAACAAAAGAGTGATAAGGCATGTTAAAGAGGCTATTTTGCACTGATATGAATACAGGTGTGCCTTGAGATTTTGGCTTACCCCACAAAAAACCACTGCCCTAATCACATAAAGATTCTACAAATAGTAGCTTTAAACAATTGATGCCAAGCAGTCTAATTTCCATTCTGCTCTACTAAAGGGAAAGAACGTGGGAAATCATATGCTGAGTTTGCCCCAGAGGTGCAGCTTTCCATGTAACTCCCTCCTAAGATCCCAAGAACTTCATACACTAGCATGAGATGTGGCATTGAAGCTCACATGCTTCAAAGTGGGCCAGTCCATGGCCAAACAGGACTAGTTCACAGCTTAGTCACTGTACCGTGGTAAATCGAACATCGCAGGAACAGAACACATGATGAATATGAATGACACAACATTGATGACATGGTGAGGCACACAGCGACTACTAGATTCGATACCCAAACTCACATGACTTCACATGACAATGAAATACAGTCTGACCTTTACTACGTCCACTGACATCGAATAATCATCCATTATCCACACTAGTGGGTAGTGAGCCTCGTTCATTGATTCTGGGAATATTTAGGGTCTCCCGGGAAAAATATGAAAACTACTTTAACACTTGACAACTATCATGATGAAGATGATGTGGTGATGACACAAACCTGTGCAGGAGAGTTGACGACTGCCAAATTGTAGCCGTAGAGCATGGAGCTGCCGAACGAGGCCAGAAAAGCCACTGCCAGCAGAGGCTTTGTGAGATGCTGAGGGAAAAACGGGGGAGAGAGAACAAGTCAGTCAAAAACTGCACAGTCAACTGTCAAGAGGCCTGAAGGAAACATTCAAAGCAATGCAAGAAACACCCCTGAGGTCCAATTTAATGCCAGATCACATAAATGAGTTATTAACACAATTTATGCATTAGTTTAAAGTACAGAGTATACCCATTTATTTCTCAGTCGACATTAGGTATACCCACTTCTAAATCCCCTCTGATTCAGAAAGTGTTCTGTTAACTAAATATTTTGTCCTAGGATAGTGAAGGAATTACACACTTTTTCTGAGTGGATGGAGTAAGGAATAAGGAATACTTCACTCGAAATGTACAATTATGTATTCACCTGTTTGTGGGGGCAGTATTGATTGCAAAATTGGCACCTCTGCTGTGGCTAATGTTCATTTCATAATGATCCTTTCTCCCTGAAGTCAAGCAGCAGAAATTAAGTGACAGTGTGCAAATACTACTGTTTTGGGTTAGGGTTAGTAAATAAATAAAGTGTTGTGTCAATGTTTAAAACACAGAGTGTTTATCTTTCACTGGATGGGCCACTTGAGGTACCACTACACCACTGGACCACCACACCATTCTGTAGTATTCAATAGCATTAATATAAGTGCATGTTGCATATGAGTCTGTGAACTTTGGACGTTGCAGCAGAGCTGAACAGGCACTGAGCGGCACATGACTGAGTCAGAAGTGAAACAAACTGGCATCTGCAAGCCAGATCTGACAAACCTGTTCACATCTTGCTCTACTAGAGTTGCTATGAATGAGCTGAACAAACACAGATTTAATTAAACTCCACTTCTCAGGCACTAGCTGAATATGTGCTGTAGTCTGACAAAGAACAACAACTAACTAGGGTAAAGGGGACATTTGATGTTACATTTAAATATCCAAACATCAGCTGGGTGCTTCGGTTGACCACCCAAGAACCACAAAGTCACATGACTTTGACCCCACTCTGTCTTCAAAGAGGCGGGGGGTAGTCTACTGTATTCCTCATAAGGAGTGGCCTAGAGCTGCCCTCTTGGCTGCCTTCCTAGATTCCAGCACAAAGAGCTTAGCTGACCTCCAAGGTAGAAGGTCAGAGGGATTATAATCAATGTTCATACCTTTAGGTGGAGCGTGGAGAAAACGGGTAGCTGCACAAATGACCACACAAGAACCCCATCCAACAACTGAATAAAATAAGAGTATACCAAAAAACACACAATATTCTCACATCAGTGTACCAAAAGGAATCCACTAATGTGAGCATGTAGGGTGTCAGTACAAAGAGCAGTGAGAGGAGGAACCCTCTGCTCCGAATGAACAATAACAGCATAGATCCCTTAAAGAAACTTAATTTAGCCTGTAATGGCCTGATGGAGAGAGTTAGACGACTACACGTGAAAGTAGCTCATAGCAGACAATGCTGCCCAGTCTGCATTCAATTTAGGCTGATTATAGATGTGCAGCTCTTCACATGTTGCATCACTTTGGTCAAAGCTGTGGGCAGCTATGTTTAAGACTTCTTCTATAGTCTGTGTCATTGTTTTTCTTTGTTGTTGGTTTGGTTTTCTTTATTGATTAAAATTAAAGGCTATGTGTACCTGATTCAAGTTATAGTGAAATCTATGGTCCTGAATTGATTTGGATACTAGCAGTAGGAGATTAGTACTACAAATACTGTATATTTATTGATCTATACTCTCTCTATACTGACAATAATGAAGGAAATAGTCACTGGATAGTTTAAATGGAAGGATCTCACAAGATGAACTACTTTGAAAACTAATTTGTTTAAATGAGAAAACAGCAACCCAACACAGAGAGCTGATCTCTCTGTCTTTCCTGACCACTGATAATCATGTTAAACTCTTTAAATGAACACTCACCGTGCTGTGCTTTGCATCGTTTTCCAGTAACAGTTCCTCCGCCATTTAAGTCATGAATAATTTCTCCCAGTGTGTGCTCTGTTCGTTTGAGATGAGATACAGCTCTTCTGCACAACTTTTCAAACTCTTCTCCCCACATCCCCATTTGTAGTTTTCAGCCACGCTCGTGTGACAGAGAGGAGGCGGGTCGTGTTGATGGGCGGAATTAACAAGCTTGTCAAACTCCCAATCTCCAATCACCGGAGCGCATCCCAGAGCAGGACCATCCCAGCCGTGAATCGTTCTCCCCGCTCCATCAGTGATCACATGAGCCAAGTGGTTCATCCTGCGTCACAAAGTGCCCGCAGTTGTTATTAAATAGCCTATGACTAAGTGTATCCAGGGGCGTTTTCAGGATTAGTGAACATTAGTGTCAACACACTCCTCTTCCTCCTGATCCATAATAACACCTTTGCTTAATAATTTAGCAGATAACCACAACCGTCACTGTCAACTTGTTAATTATATAATTAATTTTAAAGTACAATATTGTTGCCAATGAGACCAAATCTGGACACAGTTGTTCATTTATTCAGTCATTTAACTGGTTTAATGCAAGCCTATTATATACAGGTTGTATAGAGCAGTGGTCCCTAAACTGGGGGTCACTTGATTATCTAAGGGTAAGATGATTACTGTGGTAGGAAAGAATAACTCTGCTACACAAAATTCTGTTTATGTTTGGGTCTTTCTCAAATTTTGTGTGTTTTATTGTAAAATAAGTTTTACCTTCTCAAAACTCTAAGTATTACTTAAATCACTGGTTCTCCAATTATGGTACGTGTACCACTGGTGGTACATGAGTTTCCTCTAGTGGAACATAGAGGAATCTCTGAAAAATATTGTTTTAAAGAAATAAATAAATTAAAAAAACATATAATACTATCAAAATACTAAAAACTTTAATACTTAAATATAATTTTTTCCCTTCCCTGTAATATTTAGTTTTAATATCAGCCTACTACATAGTCACGTTCATGTATGTAGTGGATGCATACATCCATGATTAGTTACGCGCTAAAATGTGATGGCAAGATAGTAATCAGAGGTCAGATGAATAATTAAAAAACACTGCAGTCGCGCAAACTGGTTCCGTTGGGTATTCAACAACATTCAATGATAACTAATCTTATTATTAGGAATAAACTTGCCTTCTGTGTGAACTGTCTGTAGTTGAATAGGGTCAAATGCTACTGTATTTTAAGGTCGGTCATAATGGTGGAACTTAGCGGGCCTAATATTTTCTGAGTTATCAGGTTTTGTCTTATGCTTACAATGAATGATGTGAATTAGTTCACAAAACTGAATGGACGCATCAATTCCTTACACATGACTGTCTTGCATGTGCTCCTGTTTGGTCACCTTTTAATATGCTTTGGTCACAGTATCTTCTGTTTCACATATGACTCTTGCACTGCAACTCTGTGGTGATTTCATGGTAAAAGGATAGAGTTTTAATTTTCTCTAAAGCAACCACATGACCTCTTGAGGGAAAAAGCTCATAAACATAGATAAACATAAATTTTTCATTTGCTTTGAAGTTACAGAGGTTTCAAAGTTACACTATTTATCATTAGCTGTTTGCGCCAGTGGAGCATTGATTCCGCCTCTCACAGCCCATACAATAGGCAGCTGCTCCCTCGTGTAAGGGTTTGATCATGTGTCTTTACCAAACACACACACACACACACACGTGTGTATATATGTATATATACTGTATATATATATATATCTATATAAATTAGTGGCGGTGTAAATCAGTGGCAGTTACTTCTTCATAGTACAACATTACATGATGTAGATCTGTCTTTGGTATCATTTCACCTGCCTCCCTGCTGCTATTTCCTGATGCAGTATATATTCCTACACAGTATCCTCTGATACACAACCAATGAACCTTCAGGCTTGTGCTCCTAACTTTAACTCAACGAGCCAAGTTGAGACTATCATGCAAGTCAAATGGCTTGTGTCATATGACTTCTATCACTGTGAAATGTCTGCGGCATCATGCCGCTTTTGTGTAAAAAATCAATTACGTTGCGAACAGGGACACAACTCACAGAGTTGACACCATAAAAGAAAAAAAGCATCGACAAACACATCAGCACAATGACATTAACTATTTTGAGGACAGGAAGACTGGAGACAGTGGAAAGACCTGCTGTTTCACAAGAGATGACTACATTATGAGTTTATTAGGTAAACTTGTACAATGACAAGAACATTTAACCAAATGTTTTGTAATACACAGGAATCAAAATTGAGAAAAACCTCTTAATTACACAAACTATGACATCAAAAATGACCACAGAGTTTAATCAACCTCTCAGTTACAGCGTGCAGGTACTCAATAACCTCAAAAACATAAAGTGTTTTTTTTTTGTCATATCATTTTGTTTATTTTTTTAATTATTTAATTTAAAGCCCCTGCAAGGAGTTTTTAACTCGTTGTGAAACAGTCTCAATGTAAAGCCTCTATATGAAGACTGATTATTTCTAAATAGATGTTATTTTTCCCTGCCACCAGGTCGGATTACAGATACATCTTCCCATGCAGAATTTGGCAGTGAGCTGTAGGTTGTCCAGCTCAAAGGAAGATTTAACATTATATTTCGTGGGTATGTCTGATACTGGGGCAGGATTAGCAAAGAGAAAAAAGTACAGTGATGAAGCGGTTATGTGTCATTTGTCAAACAAACACCGCTTTCTGTGATTATGAGCATGATAACAAATATGCACCACACAATCAAAAGTAGTTTGTATAAAGTTGAGAGGCCACTGAAGTGAAAAAAAATATTTATGACCAGGCTTCAGGGTCAGGAGTGGTTATTGACCAGATGTGCTGGACGGTAATTAAAGGTCCAGTGTGTAGGATTTAGTGGCATCTAGCAGTGTAGCAGAAGATTGCAAATCACTCGTTTCCCCCTCCCTTGCATTACAATGGCTGCCAAACGTGCGCAAAACACAAGTGTTTGGTTTGTCAGTTCTGGGATACTGTAGAAACATGGCGGCTCAAGTCAACCTGCAGCACTGCATTTTTCAGTGATTATACACAAATGCAAACATACCTATGAATATTATATTCCAAATCCTCTTAAATGTTAGACACTGGACCTTTAAACAAAGCTGACTTTGTTTCACTATCATCATATTATAGTTATTAATCTTACTTAGCCACAAACAGATACATTACCTCATCGCTATCGCTATCGCCTCATCCTGCAAACAGCTGTGTTTAAAAAAGAAAAATAGTATTAAAAATAAGTTGCATTTTTTGTTTACTTTACTGCTTTACTTGTGGTGACAATTACAAGAAAGATTGTGAGATTGGTTAAATAATGTTAATAAAAATTATTCTGTGTCAAGTCACTGCTGACTTATGAATAATGCTGTAGCCACTACAAGTTGATAGTGTATTGCAAGATTGCCTATTTTATCAGAAAACTAATTTTATTAGTAAAATGTATGATGTGGATATTTTACTGTTACATTTAGTCAACATTTTTAATGACTTGCCAGGTACCTTAATTAACAGCATTATGGTTCCCTCAGGATAAGAATAATGTATATAAACATAATATCTAGGAGACAGGGCTCCTGAGAAAGTCCCATATTTTTCTCATTTACTTCACATGCTCCATTTCTTATTTAAAGCTGCCTGTTTTTTTTTTGTTTTGTTTTTTGCAACAGTGGGGACAGTGCAACAAGCTGTAAACACTACTGACATTATCACCACTGAGTTGTTTTGGTGAACTTGTTAGCCAACAGTTAATATTATTTTGCTCAACAAACTCCTGAGATAAATATCCACCTCTTGAGCAGCTAAATTCTACACTATATTCTCCAGCTATTGGTTAACTTTGTCTACTTTCAGTGCTGGGCTGGTAGAGCGGTTATTATTAGAGGTTTGTCACTGAAACACCTACCGGCTGCGTCTGAAAATGAGGTTTATGAGAGTGGTGAGACTGAACCAAAACAGTAAAGGTGTGGGTTGTAAAACCAAAACAATGAGCTGAAAGATGCTAAAATGCTCTGTATTGCTGAGGGGAACTCAAGTCATTAGGCAGGACAGGGAGGAGTCACGTGATATTTCTGTGTGGGTTCATCACTACAGCCAACAACATGTTGCTGGTCAGGTGGTTGCATGAAAGGGGTTGTCATGAGCTACAGGTAGGCCTTGTCACCCTTAATTCTGCTCTTCTTATGTCTACATTATTATTTATTCGTTCCTTCACTGATACGGATGCCCTCTCTGTTTGAAGAGACAGTGACTTCGGGGTTTTTTCTGCTGCATAACTCAATCCCTTTCACCACCAAACCTCTAAAGTGTTGGCCTTTCCATCACAAAAATATTCTTCCAGCCTTTCCTGCCTCTATTACCATCCTCAGTATCTGATCCTATCTGCTTATTAACACAATGATTAGGTGAAAAACCAGAGAGACTTCCATGTTGGCAAATAAAAAGCTGTGAAAAGAAATGAACCTCTTACTGACTGATTTACAACAGGGACATCTCATGATCATAATCAGGATCTGGAACTACATGATTTAATTTCCTCTCAACAGTGAACGAGATGTCATTTGATAAATTACCCATCAATAGCAGACAGTGGGGGATGCTGCACTGGGAAACGTGGCGCGTGCATGTGCATGTGTGTGTGTTTTTCTCAGTTTTGTGTACACATATGCTGCAAAGACTTGTTGTGACAATGAGTATCCTCACACACACACACTGTTGAGTGTGTGTGTGTGTGTGTGTGTGTGTGCTCCAAGTGCAGTATAACCTCACATTAGCAGCCCATTATTTCAATAAACCTCCTCTTGCATCCCGTTGACAGATCATCTGCCTAGAAAAGCAGATATTGTGGCCTTTAATCAGTCAGCCCCCTCCGAGCCGCCGTAGTCTCTTGTGCAGTATTTAAATTCCTCATTTACTCTGTTGCAGGCGGGACGTGCCTGTCCCCCATTGTTCACTCTGAATAAACTGGGGAGCTGATCGTGTTAAGTGCGGCCATGATTGATGGCTGCTGATGAAATCTAATATACTCGCCCCATGCCATCGTTTGGCAGAAATAGGATTAGAGAGAAAGACTCCAACATGAGCTGATAAAAGGTGGAAATGTACTTAACG